ATTGAGATGAAGTCTATTTAGTTCTTGGTGTTTCCATCTGGTGAAATCCATGTCACCTTGTGTATATCCTTGTGTTTGAACACACTACCGCCAATCACCAAATCATTGAAGGCGCAGAAGTCTGAGAAGAGTTCACCATTGTCGTTCACTTCGCTCAGGGCCTCACGACCCATGGTGAGTTCTCTTCCTGTGTTGTCTCCTCCCAGCTTCGCATTCATGTCGCCCATCAGGATTTTGATATCGCCATTTGGGACGTTGTCCATTATTGTTTGTAGTTGTCTGTAGAACGCCTCCTTCTTCTCTTGTTCTGAGACGTTTGTAGGCGCATAGCATTGAATGACTGTAACTTTCCTTCCTTTTGAGTTGAACCTGGCTGTCATTATCCTGGAGGAGATTGGTTCCCACTGCATGAGAGCTTTGGCTGCTGTTGGTGACATCATGATGGCCACTCCCTCGGAGTGCTCATGGTTGTCCTCTGGGTGGCCGGTAAAGATTACTGTCTCTCCAGTTGGTAGTTGGCACCTTCCAGTTCCGTTCCATCTGCTTTCGCAGATTCCCAACACTTCTATTCTGTACCTTCTCATTTCAGCGGCTATCTCGGCAGCCTTTCCAGTTTCGTACATTGTGTGAACATTCCAGGTACCCATCCTTACTTTTGCTTTCATCGAAAGAAGGCACATCGGCTGACTGGCTTCCCGAAGGCTTTCACCAGCCTGCGTCATTTCACTTCCCCGATTCCAGCGGAAAGTAAGGCTATTGCTTATGTTTTTAGAATTTTTAATATATTTATTCGTTGAAGTTTCTATAGCGATTTGGTTGTTTTACGAGGGTGGAGTTGCTACCACCATGCTCCAACCCTCCCACTTTACGAGGGCTTGGGACCGGCGAGAAAACTAGTAAGATAGTAGCCTAGCAAGCTAGTATCTGGCGAGGTTTATCCTCACTAAACTGTGCAATATCTTTCGTCTTTCCAAATGCATCAATACTATCAAAATCATTGCACAAGATACTTGAGTTGATAGGCGTCCTTCTCATTGTGGATGACAACACCAACGACAACTGATTGATACCAGTTGATGAACTTAGCCGTGGATCAGAAGCTGTTGTTGTTCGGCTTTCAGAAAATTCTCTAACTGCAAGATTACTACCACCGCTGTCTTTTACTATCAGCTCAGGTTTAGCACTATCATCTGATGATAGGTGGGCTACATGCTGATCAATTACACTGACGGTCTGACAAGTATCCATACCTTCTGCAACTGCATTCAATCCTACTTCACGTTGTAGTTGTACAGAACCTTTGTTCAACTTCTCAGTAGTAGGCACTCCCCTCATTTCATCATGATCAACCAAAGACAAATCTGCACTATCATGATCATTATCACAAATATTCAATTTACCATCATCTATCTGGTCGACTTCATCATTTTCAAACCCTTTAATAACAGAAGTAGACAATTTTGGTTCCTCCTCGCAAATCCTAAAAGGTCTTATAACTTCACTCTGACTAGTAATACCTTGTAAACTTGTAGGGTCAGAACTGCACTCTGAAGCAGCAACTCTATTCTGTGACACTCTATTCAACAATGGCTTACCAGTTGCAACTACAGACTTCTTCACAACACCGTTATCGTCACACAATTCGGAGTCAGACCTGGAGTTTATATTTAGCTTATCACTGAACTTGCTCACTGAATCACAGTTCACCTTTGTATGCACCTTTTGCAAACGTGTAAAACACAACCGTGCTTGTCTTGCATCTTGTAACTTATCTGTTGAGGATGTACTAGGAAACCTGTTACACTCACTAGATCTATAGGCATTACTAGACATCATGGAGCCTTCTCGATATCCACCTCTATGAGGCCTACTCGTCATCAATGCTTGCATTTTGATCTCAGACTGCTCTATTCTAGGGGTGAGATGTAATAGACTGGCAAACTTGCTCATAGATTGATTGACGCCATCTTTTACTAGTTTCAGGTTATCATCAAACTTTGGCTCGATACCCTCATCCTCCATACGGGAGCTCATCTTCACCCACTTCCTTTGCAGTCGAGTAGGTAGACGTCTTGATATTACTTCTAGTATAAAACTCGAGTTGAGGTCACTCATGCGATTCATCGAAATCATTCCATTCTTGTAAATTAGCAAATTATCTAAAAAGTCAGTGAGTGCCTGGGAGTCATCCTGTAATTGACCACCATTACCCTTAACAGCCTCGAATAATTTCCCTGCAATCATCGAAGGTCTTCCAAACCTTTGACGTAATATGCTCATAGCCTCGTAGTAGCCCTCTTTTGGCTTCATAAACGTACAGCACTGTATAGCTCTTGAAGCATCTCCAGTGCAATATCTCATCAAATACATTAACTTCGATTCATCATTTAATAAAAAGCTACTCAGCATGATCTCAAACTCCTTAACAAACTGTAAATAATCGGCCGGGTTTCCATCAAAACACCGTGGTTCAAATTTAGGGAGTTTGATGTTCCTATTATCCCTGAACGGCGAAACAGTAACATCAACCATGTCATGCTTAACATCGGACACATCGTTACAATTAACAGACAAGTCATCATGACTTACTTTCCTGTGTGCACCCAAGACACTCTGTCCCTTCTTTGACCCAGGCATTGTTGAACTTGACCCGATTCCAAACGCGTTCCAGATATTGCTTGTTCAAAGAGGACTTGACCGGCACCAGGAAAAATGAACGGCGACTATCCAAACTTTCACCAACTGTTTGAATCCGCCAGATCTGTTTCTATCGTCAGAAACTGTCAATCACGTCTCATAAACCGTTAATGCCCAGCTCTCGCTACACTCGGGCCCACGCTGTTCCTTGAAGATTTCAGAAACGCTTAGTTATAACGGACGAAAAAACCAAAACACCGATCTGCCGCTTGATATTTCTTTATTGTTACACCAACATATAAAAAGAATAAGTGAACTAAGGTCTGAAAACAAATATTGCAATAATAAATCATTGTATTACTTGTGACGATGTTTCACTCTTCTTTCTGAACAGCGACCGATGAGACGATGACTGTCGTATTGATGCCTCCACGAAAATTGGGGAAGTTGATTTTGAGCAAACAACCATGAATTGATCGTTCAATCTTCAACTCCATTGACATCTACTGAATTTCACAGGTGTCTTACAACAATCTGACGCTTATTTGTACTTACAACCGAATAACAACAAATGAATTCAAGTTCTCAAATTGATATATGTCTATAGGAGAGTTGATTTTTTTCTGATTTGGAATTGAGGGTGGTTAGTTGTGTCAAACATTTAAGTAGCCCGTTAACCGTAGGGTATTCTTGCAACTACGTGTCGTAGCCTGGAGTATATCCTGCTATTTGGCACCGACTCATGTGGACCGGTTTTGCAGTACTGTGAAAATCAAGAGTTTCTGACTACACTAGACAGTTTGATATAGCATAGGGTTCCTAAATAATCCGAAGCACCAATAAAGCCCAAGAGAAAAATGTTGTGCACATCTGCTCAATAAAACTCAAGTTGCTTGGCATGAGACTGGCTGGAAATGAAGGCTGGTGAGTATGATTCTACTGCAGTGCACAAGTTCCGTTCTGATATCACTGGTGAGGATGAGACGGGAGTTACGCTAACACTAAGGCCACACACTTTTAGGAGGTAGTCGTCTTATTCCTCTACCTGCCTGCACTAGTTGGGAGTGCACGGGTAGGTGGGTTCATCTGTGATCCATTGTTGACCGTCAATCTAATATACTGAAACCATTTAAGGTTGTCAGGAATGAACATCACGTCAATAGCTGTCACTTAACACTACTGTGAGTACTAATCCAGCCAGATGTTCAAAACATATGATGGAAATTAGGACTATAAACATTACAGCGATTGGCCAATCCATTCAGCCAAACAATCTGCCTAAGCGTTGATGGATTCTATCCAATTAAGCCTATAAACCGGTTAGGGTAACACTAAAGCTACGTGAACTTAATTCTTCCTGCAGAGAAATCACTGTCGAATCTTCAAGTGGTCATTTATATTGGAATGAGTATCGTCTACGGACTCTGGATTCTGACCAGTCATTAAAAAATATTCTGTGTCGGACAACAATTCAAAACTCATGACGAAAACTTGCAGTTTTGATTATTTGTAGCGCAAGCTACAGCATATTAATCAGTTAGATTCAAAACCTCGGTAGGATAAAAACAAGGACAAAAAATCGGTATGCTTCCATATTTACCCATGACAAACAAAAGCATTTTATTTACCTTAACGTTATTTGCACAGCTGGCTATATTTGTATTATGAATTCCCTTCCATCCTCTTTTCATATGTGAGTTTCAGCCATGTTCCCTTTTTTGTGCAGCACTGTAACAGTGACTGTCACACATGAGCTTCTACTCAGGAAGTGGTTTCGCCCTGTGTAATAATATTTGTCGGCATTCTTCAGCGTGATTGAGTGTATCTGGTCCAGGTACATCTGTTTAAATTTGGTTGTTATATGACTGATCGCTTTAATCTCAAGAATTGTCCCTTTCTGTATACCACGGGAGGTATTTTTCCTTATCCTATAGCATCAATGCAATAGTCGTTACCTACTAACCGCACGTTATGTGGAAACTGATCCTACTTAGTTTATGTTAGATATTCAGTCAGTGAAATTCTGAAAAGTAGTTTCAAGTGCGGCATCTGTTCACTGTACCTGAGAGACAGTGATTCAAAAAATTCTTGGGGAATCTTTTGCAGTGTAATGTATGGATGAGAACAGGAAATCAGTTTAGTTAAAATTATTTACTCTGGCTGAAATTTGTATGACCAGACAGGAAAAAACGATAATTATCTGATCTTAGTCCTGCAGGGTGTAAAGAATTAGTAATAAATGATGGTTTATCAATAAAACTTCCATAAAAATTGGATTTAAGGATGGTAACGTAATTTTCCACTGACTACTGGTGACTATTCCAAAAGAATTTCCAAGTTGCATGTTCACTGTTGAACAGAGCAATTAAAAGATTCTGGAGCGGCTTTCATTAGGTTTCTTTTCGATGGCTGGTAGTGGCTCTCCTCCAGGAGAGACAAAGTTTATATATTATATTGATGAAGAAGAAACACCTTATCTTGTAAAACTTAATATTGCACCCGATAAAGTCACCTTGGGTGACTTTAAAAATGCTTTAAATCGTCCTCATTCAAAGTTTTTCTTCAAATCCATTGATGATGACTTCGGGTTAGTAAATTGAAATATAGATTTGGCGTTTACTATTCCACTCGCTCAGTTTTTCGTCCAGTGTGTATCATGTTTTTCTCATTTGGCTTATAACACAAAGCAGAGGGCGATGCGAGTCATGTATCAATTCCAGTATTATAAAATATATACCTCAGTTATCCAAACGTCGTTTAGGGATTATCACTGTTTATTTAGTAAAATGGGGATGTTCATCTTCTGGTGCAACGAGATGTTCATTCATGCTCAGGGATAATTCGCCACATGATTACATCGCACGTCAACATCATTTTATTGAAACATGTTTCAATCAAATGAAACCAGATATGCACCTATCATTTGTTTAGGAAAAGTATTTCAAAAGTGATGGCAACTTGCAAATGACCTGATCTTCAAACTACTTGAAATGTATGGGTCCAAATTGGGCCCTACTACTGTCACATAGAGTCCAAGGTTTGAAATAGGAGTCAATACAAGCACAAGTTATATTATATATCAGTCCACAGGAAATTGCGTTTGCTTTAGTGTCATTCTACCACATATTTGTTTTGCATTAGAACAATGGAAACAAATCAATTTTCCTACTTAAGGAATTGTTGCGATATCGTATTTGCTCACCATCCGTGATAGTTCCATAGTATTATGGATATCCTCGGTCATTATTCACGTCTTTGATTATGCCAGACGGTATTGTTAACACAACCAATGGGTTTTAAAATTTATTCCAATAAAATGCATCTGTAAGCATCTGAACTTAGGTTACATGAAAGCTCTTTTGTTATTTAATTCCGTTTATGTATTGTGCACTAAATTTGTAGTGTTGTGGATAAATGACAGAGTATGCATTCATAAGTAAATCATAGTATATAACTGTGACATGTCGAATGGCCAGTCTATGATAAGTTGATCAGCTCATATGACGGGAAGTAAATTTTGATTCAACGAATCAAATGTAATTGTGGGGAAGCTAAAGGTGTGCTTAAGTGAAGATTACACAGAGAACTCATTGGGGAGGTGTTAAAGAGACACATCATGTACACCACCTCATTAAGCCTCTAGCCTTGAATTCTTAGTATCTGGAAGACTCAGTCATGTCATACATCCACACGTAGTTCACATAATCACTTCATAACGTGGATTGGTCATGTATCTAGAATAACCTCAGTTAATATGATGTTATTTGTTCCTTGTGTTCTTCAAGGGAACGTAGGGATTTTGTTCTGCTACCTGCAGTCTTGTTTAGTTAGATTCACGCTGTACGTGAGCTTTCATTTATTTTTCGCGTGGTCACCATGTCTTTCTCGAAGTTCCAACTTGTTACTTAATATATATATATATATATGTATATATATATATGTGTATATATATATACGTATATATGTATATGTATGTATATATATACATATATATATATATATATATATATATATATATATATGCTAGGACAGCTATTAATAGCACATGTGCCCGGTTCACATAGTTCCAGTATCTTGTATCAGTTAGTTTTGTCATGGATACTGATATATTTTTCCAATTTTCCAGAAAACCTGGCTTTTCGTCTCAGGTTCCTCTTAATAGTACCACATAGCCTGCCGTGAATTCGATTGATATATCGGACTTTATAGAGGCTAGGCATAGACCAATTTTGATTATTTGGGACATATATAGGGAGTCTGAAACTGAATATGTTCACACATCTTCCTGGTTAACACTAAGACAGATGCAGGGATGCATAATCAAGTGGTTGTACCCTTAACTACAATCTCGTCCCTGTTTGAGGTTCATCTTGACCACGTTTTGAGATGGGCTGTAGTCAGAATTCACTTGGTTTGCATAAAGTAGGTTTTTAAAACAATTTTTGGTTTCTTGGTTATGTTTTTAGTGAGAAATACTTGCAGTTACTAACTCAAATATCTTTTCAGCGTTGTAAAGGAAGAAATATTCGAAGATAACTCTCCACTTCCTTGCTTCAATGGCCGTGTTATATCTTGGGTATGTAGTTATTACATTATTTTTTTAGCGAAATTTTGAGACAATTTTTGATATGTTCTGGATTATGTTTGATATGGTTTTTGTCAGAACGTTTTGGTTTTGCTTCGGTTTTCGCACGTACAAGTTATCACTGTGATTGTTTAACCCTTATTAAGTTAATCAAAAGTTGTTTTCCAGGTGTATTCTTGCATTTCGTATGTAGAACCACTGTATTTTTATGTAGCTTTTGGGTTTTTATATCACTAAGGTGGTATTACCTGTAATTCACAACATAGCAAAATCAAGGAGATAATTTTAATGTCAGCTGAGCACAACTGTGGACATAAGCTAACTTTGCATATCGAAATGCTTTAATTAATGTCACGAAAAAGTTTGATAATTGTAGAATAGATCAAATAAAGTATAATAATATTTCAGTGGTTTACACACAATGATGAGTTTTTGTTTTTTGATAATATTTCGAGCAAAATTACGGCCCTTGATCACATAAACAAAACAATCCCAACAGTTGGTGTAATCATGGGCCGTAGTTTTGCTCGAAATATTGCCAAAAAACAAAAACTTATCATTGTGAATAAACCATTGAAATATTATTTTACTTTATTTGAAATGCTTTAAACGAAATAAAGTGCATGCATCAACTAGCGTGTGACGTAGTGTTTTAACTGCTGGTTCAGTTACAATGTATTCCACTGAACTTTCCTCACAATCGGTTTTTAAATTGGTTCAAGGTGGTCAGTGCTTTATCATTTTTGTGTATTGCATTAGGGTGAAACTTCGTTTATCACGTGACTTGCTTATATTTTTCGTAAGTCTAAGTGTATATAATCTAATGCTCGGGCCTACACAAAAAGTCAAAGCGTATGGCAGCGGGTTCTCTGCTTTGATTGTATTGCACTTGAACTTCCGCACATTTGTGCAAAGTTCTATGTCGAAAACAGACAGACAGACAGTATTGCACTAGGGTTTAAGCATCTAGTTTTACAGAAATATATATATATATATAATTCAGCTCATTTCAGCTGAGGTTCATAATACAGTCAGATCTTAATTAAAGTGGCGCCAATACTTTTTCCTTACGTTTTCCTTTCTGTCTTGTGGCATTGTATGACTTTTGATTGTATTGCTTTCGTTCTCATGTTCGAGTCCCGCCCCACCTCATGGTCATTTGAGTAGTATTGTCGGCCTCCACACCATAAATCTGATTGTTAGGGTGGTACATAAAATGTTTATTCTGGATAACGGTCCGAGCAAACCGCTTTCATTCTCTTAATACCTTTCGTCCTACTTAATGTTGATCCTTTTTCACAGTAAATCCAAGTTTTATTTTCATCATGTTCATCTGTTTCTTTTAGCGCAGTAAACTAATTTAATTTTGGTTTACCAAATATTTATTTTTATTACGATGTCCAGATCTGCCAAAGTTGTTATGTTTGCCGGAGTTTATTTTCACGTGCTGTAACCTGAAGTCTATACTTACACTGTTAGAATGTATTTCTTTTTTGTAGTTGGTTACCGCCGAAGAAAGTGTAACTTCCGAACCAGGCCTTGGTCCGTCTGCTGAAACAGGCAACAATGTCAATAACAGCAAATTTGTGTCGTCTGTTGATTCGGAATCAAATGATGCACGGTAAGGTAGCTTATGTACACTGTAAAGTGAATAGTAGTATACTGTTATTTGGAGCTTTTCTAACTGTATATATGTCGATAAATGTCACGTATGTCTGTAAAATATCTGTGTGTGAAGTTTCAGTGCTTCTTCATTCATGAGTGAGGGAACAGTTCCTTCCAATTTATCGATTTTGATATTGCATATTAACGAGCTGCCATATCTGATCATAGGTTTATTTCAATTTTAAAAGAAAAATGACCGACGTGTGTAGCTGAATAATGTTATCGGAATTTCTTTGGAAAAATGCAACTGAACTATATAGGGAATCTTTTCAGTAACCTGGAAGTATGCGGCTCTTTAGTCTTAGTTCACGAATTTCACTTAGTAAGAGATATAAACACAACACAGTGCAAATTCTCAGTCCTTCGTATTTCCTAGTATTATCAGTCTACTTGATAATTATATTACTTGAGTGACATTAAGTTTGGGAAATACTGTGGCACAGTCGTTATCTTCATGGTTTTGACCTAAAAACTCGTTATCATGACTTTGCTAGCCAAATTTTTATTAAAGGCATCTACGTAGATTAAGTCTGTAATTTAAAATAAGACCTTACAAGCACTACTAACAACATCAGAGAATCGCACTGAATCAGACGTAGTGTGAAGTGGATAGAGGACGAGCGCATTACCCTTTGTAGCAGTATACGCAATATTAACTGATGACGTTTCTGGCACAAATTATTGATATGATTATGAGCAATAATTTGTGCTTGAAACGTCATTAGTTAATATTACTGTACAACACTGTGTGATTTATCAAAATAAAATTATCTATAGTGGAGTTATACTCTACCACAGTGCCCAAGTTTCATACTTATATCAATTATAGCAGTATACGCCTTTGGAAGATGATTATGAAGAGGAAAACTTTTATTCTAACTAATATAGTTAAGGGGTTCCAAAAATTGTTAATCTAGAGTAGTTTATTTTCATTGATCAGTTCATTCGCTTTTGGTAGCTTTATCTAATATACCCCTAGTACTGTTGTTGTATGCCCTTAATTCTGTGTTAGTATTAAGCGCATTCATCGGTTTTCTTTTTTTTCGAATAGTGTCTGCTAAATGATAATTAAGATGTTATTTAGTCTGTTGGTTGATTCTCTTTTTCGATCTATGATTGGCAGTTGGACCGTTGACTCGGGACAGTAAAAGTCTCCATGTGACGATCTGTCTTCTTGGGTTGCGTGTCAGTGGTATCTCAATGTGGTGGTTGTCAGTGCGAATAATGATTAGAACAGTAGGCTCTCAGATCTACTAGTCGCATTGATGATCATATTACTTGAGCATGCTGATCTCTGATTTCGGTTATGAGATTCTTAGTTTTTTAATTTTTCACTCCTTAACGTTCCCAGTGGAATATAGAGCTTCAAGCTAGAGCTTTGAATTTCCCTTAGGAGTGGTGTTTATTTTTACGGGATGGGGTTGCTAGCCTCATACGCAACCTTCCCTCTTTACCAGTCTTTTTTTACTGGCTTTTCAGTCCAGTCATTTAAGATTGGTGAGGAAATTATGTAATTCTTGTACAGTAGAGCTGCTTATTACAAAAATTAGACTTTTGATATTTGGATGCTAATAAGTAATTTCGTGTGCGTCGGTGGCACAGCAGTTAGGACGCTCGCCGACCATGCACATGGTCCGGGGTTCGATTCCCGGCCGACGCACACCTTTACACCACTAGGCCAGAAATAATGCTAGTAAAGAGGAGAGGTTGAGCATGAGGTTAGCAACCCCATCCTGTAAAAAATAAACACTGCCACAGAAACTTCAAGCCACTAGCTTGAAGCCCTATGTCCCACTGGGAACATGAAGGAAAAAAAACAAATAAGTAATTTTCGAATTTGTTCCATGATTTCTCAGTGAAAATGAGTGCAAAATCAACTCATGTGTATCTCAACCGCATACTACCGCTGCACCAGCTGATTCAACTTCTACAAACTTGGGACATGGAGGAAATGTTGGACAAAATTATGATACAGAGACAGAGTCTGTACACAGCGCAAATCAAGGTTAGTTTAATTGCCTATTAATTTATTGTAATAACTTTTGCTATTACATTAGTGGTGGTGATTTGCAGTCATCTTTTAGGTTGTTAGGATATTTATAATTCACTATAAAGATTCTGTGGAAACTGAAATAACCTATATCCCAGCCAAAAGTTAGTGTTGTGTATATTATTCAGTTATTTGAGACAGATCACGTGCCACACAGCCGTTTTTATTACTAAGGTTGATGCTATCCAGTCACTCAATTCAAAGTAGATGAATGCGGATCCGAAAATAGCATTTACTGGCTGAAAGTCAAGTACGTTATATTTATGGAGACTACTGAAGGGATTGCAATACACAGTATTTTTCTCCCTGCTTTTGCCCTGCCTCCACAGAAGTTAACGTAGTCGAGGAGGTCAGAGACCATTGAGTGACAGAACATATCTGTGGTGGTGTTGTTTGCAGTCGAGAAATTTTCCGGGAATGTTTGAAGTATATATATATATATATATATATGCAAGTTCACTTGAATGAGTACTACCATTGGCTAAAGGCTTGTTATGTTAATTGAGTGCTTAATTCACATTGGATGACGCAATCAGAATAGGCAATCAATTAGCTATAACAGCTGCTTGTGTATACGTACTTTCTCATACAATGCGGTTTAAGCTGTAACTGCGTATCTCATCTCAAATATTTTCAGTTAAATTCATTATTAATTGGTGAAATGAAATAGATTTGTCCGTCTTATAATTTCTGCTGGTGAATTTTTAAATAATATTGCTAAATCAAAGACAATTACACGGTTATTTTATAATTTACATTTTTTTTTTCAAAAAATAATCCAACAGATCGCATTGCTCCCTTACGGAATTTCCATCATTACAAGTCTGGTAAGTGTCCTGAGTTTGATTCTTTGTGTTTAATATATGCTTAAAATGTGGTTTTTCAGATTTGAGAATTAAGGTTTTTTTGATAGATTTGCGTAAATCGAACACTGAATTGGTGATTAATAAATAACTACCTTACTGCCTACACAGTTCTAAATACGCGGAAAAATTAATTTCTAGTGTTCACAGTTAACCTTTTTAAGCGAAATCCGGTACTGAAACCTTCTCCATCAATAATCAAGTGGCTGTCATTCACATCCCAACTTCTACTTGCCAGGCAGTGGGATAAGCTTGAAATTAATTTTCAATGCATGCTAACATTCAAAGGATTTCTGAATTCTTACTATTAGTTTCACTGTGCCAGGTGAGTTAATTAGAATTGTGTGAAGCTGATAAGTCGGTTTTCGCGAATTAATCAGATAAATAAATACCTACATACAGTAAGTAACATCACTGTATCACTGTCATATTCAATTGGAGCAGATTTAATTTATTTAAAAGGTAAGAAAGGCAATAGTCAGGTTAGATTCACTTAAAAATCAACACTTTACTAGTACTAATTCATCGGTTTTGTATTGATCAGGAAACGTTATTAACTGTTTTTGCTTGTATTTAAACAGTTTAGTGTTCCCTACTAGTCAAATCTTTAAAATCTATTTTCTTATGTCATACGTTTATTGTTGCTGTAATGAATGTATGAGCGAAACTCATCTTTGCTTAATGAGACGATTATTCTTTCGTGTTTTTTTATCAAGGTGGTAGGCATCATTATGCAGCAGGCAGTAACCACTGCGGCCATCATGTTCAGCAAGCTGCTCACAGCGGCTCACGTCACCGTCATTATCGCCATTTACCTAGTTCAAGTACGTATGAAACTCCTTCCATGATGAGCTCTGATCTAGAATCTACAAGCTTTTTAGATTCTGAAGAAGAATCTAGCAGGTTAGTTGGTTTACGTGTGGTTTTTCAGATTATTGTAACTATTTTGTAGAACATCCTATATATTGGTCATGGATTTCCAATAACATTTATTTCCTATTGTGATCAAGGTTTTCCTCAGTAACTGGGACAACTCTATCGTCTCGCCGATATGGTCGCGCACCACGACGACGAAGGCGTAGGCGTCCGCCACCAATCAGCAGAGTAAGTTGTCCTAAGTAAATAGTTTCTTGTATGAACCCACTTTTAGTGTACATATGTATGTATATACATATGTGCACTGTGTTAAGTTACTTTTTTCAGGAACCGTAAACTCTAAATGTTTAACACTAACACCCTCTAAATATCATTGCCATTAAAAAATTCTATGTTAAAATGAAATCTAAATTTTAAACCGATGTATATTACAGCGATAATGTTACAAGTAGGAAAGCTGTCCATAGGAATAAATTAGTGTGTGTCACAAAGTTTGTTGTCATTAATTTAGGAGACCTATTCTGTATTTGTGTGTGTTGGACAGATTTCAGTGCGTAAAAGGAAAAATTATTCTGAGGGCTTTTGTAGGTGTGAGTAAATACTTTCAAGTTGTTCTGATATGTGGGAAAATATATACCCTTAAAGAAATATATGACCGACAGCCGGACAAGAAACGAATGTAGGATATATGCTGGGCAAGAACGTGTATTTAGGAGAGTTCCACAGTTTAAAGTGGGCGTTCGAACCCTTAAAACTATCAGTCTTTAAGTTCGTCAATATCATGTCTTTTCCAACCTGCACCTGTATCAGCTAGTAATGCCCGTCGGGGGAGGCGATGGTTAGGCATGCGCACCACGTGACCTAGCCATCTCAATCTATGTAACTTTATAGCCTCGTCGATTGATTTTCCCTCTTTGCCCAACACTCTACGCCTAACGTCAACATTACTTACCTTATTAAACCACCTAACGTGAGACAGAGATCGCAGACATCTATGATCGAAAGCAGTCAACCTTTTCATGTCTTCAACGCGTATTGGCCATGTTTCAGAGCCATAGAGAAGGACGGAGCGAACTGATGAGCAGTACACACGTCCCTTGGTTGATAACCGGATGTCACGCCTACGCCAGAGATGGTGTAAGTCAGCGAAAGCAGCTCGAGCTTTTCGGATCCGTGCTGAGATTTCATCGCCAATCAGTCCGTTGGTGCTAATACAACTTCCCAAATAGGTGAAGTGGTCAACATGTTCTATCACTTCACTCCCTATCACTAAGTTAGGAGTTGACGTGGTCCAGTCCTGTAGCAGCATCTTACATTTTGCAGGGGCGAATCGCATGCCAAACATACGAAGATTGCTGCTCAAGGTGTTCAGAAGACTCTGCATTTTGTCAGCATCCTCCCCTAACAGGACTATGTCATCTGCATATTCTAAGTCCATAAGACTATTCCCTGGTAACAAGTCGATTCCTAAGTCGTTACGTTCAGTTAAGGATACTTCCATTAGCATATCTATGATGAAGTTAAACAGAAATGGGGAAAGTGGACATCCCTGTCGGACACCACTGGTTGTTACCAATTCAGATGACAATTCCCCATAAGCCCTTACACGACTACGTGAGTTTGAATAGAGTGCCTTGATTAGTGCAATGTACTTTCTTGGCACTCCCTTCACAGTCAGACATTGCCATAGTACCTTTCGATCCACGGAGTCGAAGGCCGCCTTCAAGTCAAGAAATATGACAATTGTTGGACGCCGAAAAGTGTGTCTATGTTCTAGAATCTGTCGAAGAGTGAAGATATGATCTATGCACCCTCTACCTGGTCTAAAGCCTGCTTGATTTTCCCTTGTCTGTTCCTCCCGAGTTCTGCTTAGTCTATGCATGATTACTGAGCCTAGGATTTTAGAGACTATGTTCGTTAGGCTGATCCCCCTATGATTATCACACGAGGACTTGTTTCCCTTCTTGAATATCGGTATAATAAGTGACTTACCCCAGTCTGATGGAACTGTCTCTGATTCCCAGACTTTGCCTAGTACCTCAGTTAATCTACAAACTAGTATGTCACCCCCATATTTAAACACCTCCGGAATAATTCCGTCGGGTCCTGCCGCTTTGCCTCGTTTCAAATTACTGATAGCTTTTGTGACCTCACTTACAGACGGCGGACCAGTGTCTATATCCCATTCGGGTGTGTGTGGATGGGGGAGGTTCAGTGTGGCTGTAGGCAAGTTAAATTGTTCCTCAAAGTGTTCTTTCCAGCGTTCAAGGCGTCTATCCTGAGAGCTAATTAAGGAGCCATTTTTCTCAGAAATAGTCTCACTTATGATTGCCTTCTCCCACCCGTTTCCTGATGAGTCTAAAGAGTTGCCTAGTGTTGCCTATCGCCGATGCTTTTTCCATCTCTTTTGCCTTTGTCAGCCACCACTGTTCACGGTCCTTGCGGAGACTTTTAGTAAGTTTCCTTTTGTGCAGCTTTCGCTCCTCATTGAATTCGGAGCTCGCCGGAATAAGTCTTCTAGCATCTATCAGTTCGGATGAGGCAGTCGAAATCCAGTGGTTTTTACTCACCTTTGGATTTGCCTTATTCACAGCTTTTACAGCTGTATCTATAGCTGACTGAATATTCTTCCAGGCTTCTCCAGGGTGAGCACAGCTGTCGAACACAGATATGTGTTTAGCTAGTTCTTCCTCAAATAGGGATTTAGTTTCCTGATCGAGCTGGGGACGTGATGGTTTTACCGCCAGCTGTTTCCTACGTCCGTTCAGTCGTAAGCACACACGAGCGCGGACCAGTGCGTGATCGGTATCTACACACGTGTTCCAGAAGGAGCGACAATCTCCCACCGACGGGGGTGGTCGCCAGGTCAAACAGTGTCTCTCCTTGTGTTTGAAGTTAATGCTTACAAGAAACAAATGATTATCAGAACAGAACTGTAGGAGACGGTCACCGTTGTCGGTTCGCTAGCACGGAACTCCATAGGTGCCACCGACATCCCTCTCAGATTGACACAATTTCCCTACTTGAGCATTAATGTCACCAGCTAGAACGACTATATCTGAGCGTTTAGCCTTTCGCAGAAAACTAGACAGCTTTTGGTAGAACTCATCCTTCGTTTCATCGGAACTGCAGTCAGTGGGGGCGTAGGCGGAGATTACGAAAAGGCATCGGCGAGTAGTGCAGTCCTTTCTCCATTTTACTGATCCGTTCGGACGGACACCACACATTCGGCTACCTACCGGGATCCAATCAAGTAATGTCTTTTCTGCCCTAGTACTCAAAGCTATCCCTACACCAGCTAATCCTCGTGAACTAGCTGTGGCATCTCCTGACACCCTCAAGGTGAATTTTGAAGATTCAACCTGTTGGCCAGGTGGGGTTAGGTGAATAACCACACTTGGGTCTTGTATGCGTGTTTCTGAAACACAGCATACATCAATGGCTCGTGATGCCAGGGTCTTGGCTAGTGATGCTTGTTGTCCTATTTGGCAAAGTGTCCTAACATTAAGAGCTCCTATATGAAATTGGTGGCGCGGCTTTAGGAGACTATCGGTGGTGGTTTTTTGGCTTCCATCGTTTTTAGTGGACGCAGAGTGGAGAGGAATTGGAGAGCTATCAAGTCAAGGAGTTGCATCAGTGGAAGAAAGGCAAGATGATAGAGATGAAGATGAAGGCAAAGATGAGTGAGAATTAGAGAGGTTTCGTGTGCGTTTCGGATTGTAAGGGCGATTGTTACTTCCCGGCTGCCCACACCGTGGAAGTTTGTTGCGTGACCGCAGAGCCCAGGGGACAACTGCTTGAGGCCGGTCACACGCGGCCTGTTTTTGCTTGTTCTTTATTGTTTGGCGTGTCTCAGTAGCATATTTATCACTTCTGTCCCGTGAAACGGCAGCGGGTAGCTCGGTCGTTGTTAATCCGGGCCACGGTCGATCCGGCATGAAATTTTGTGAATTTGTTTGAATAATGGTATTGGATGGGATACCTGCTTTTTGTTTAATCGCTATCCAAACAACCTTTCTGGCATGGTAGGACCTCAAGAGACATAAGTCTTAGCCAGTATAGCTTGATTAGTTCATTGCGGTGTTCAAGCCTGACCACCATGTCAAGGTAGCAGCTTTCGGTCGGGATTTATCTAAAGTAAACAGCCGTCACCTGTGTGGTATGTATATTTGTTATAATATCTGTTGTTCGTCTATTTTTCTGAAAAGGGTCGAGTTAAAATGCTCTGATAACGTTATTTAGGGTTGATTTCATTTTAAATCATGTCTTGTCCTCTAATCGTAGTCTGAGGTAAAGAGAAATAACCTGCTCAACCGCTAATACACAGGGAATTTAGAGAATGGTATCCGAACACGTTCCATAAACGAAAGTCGTGTCTAACGTGAAGTATCTTCGAACTCTGTATAGAAATAAAACGTCATACTGGTGTTTCCTGATTTTTTTAAATTATGAATAAGCACTGAGCACCAATCCTGCCCTGTCGGATTTTATCTTTTCCTGTCAAATATTTTAGAATTGTTATCGTACTCCAGTAACTATAATTTTTCTTTGCTATATTCTGGTTTTTGATTACACTTACCTCAGGTTTCTCATTGATTGTGTGCCTTATTCTTTCGCTAGCCATTCTGTTATTCCATTCGTATGTGTTTGTTTAAATTTTAAGAAACTCTTACCGAATAAAATCTATAAATAGTGTTAACTGGAATCCTTTATTTTTGTTTTTTATATTTAATTAACTACTTTTGTTATAATGCATCTAATGCATCTAGTTACTGAAAGTAATTTATTACTGAAATATTTATCGTTGTTCAGGCTGAAGGTTTATGAAATAAAATGAGATCATTTTATTCTGCAAATGTTCTTGTTATTTCTTTGTTCAGAATTATCAAATAAGGAAATGTATGAAGTTATTCAAAATACTATCTCCCATTATCAAGTTCATCCAGTAATTCAAAACTCATAAGTTGGAAATGTACAAGAAACTGTGTTGAAAATTTCCTTAATTAATAGTGTTTTAAGTGCACACCTCAGGTAAACATTTAGAATCTTCACTCTCAGGTCACAAACATGACGTTCCTGAGGTCATTAAGGTATTATCTAACCCGCAAGTGTTGGTTTGCGGCGATTTGACTAATTTCAGTTCGATAAGGTAACGAAATCATTTGGAGAGCCTCTGTAAACCGGGGAAGGGTGCTTGATATCTCCTTCATCTTAGTTTGGAATTTTTTTTGTCCCAACGGTGATCGAATCCAGGACCTTCGGGTTTCGAGTCGAGCCCGTTGACTCTTTACCCATAGCTGGTAATTTCAGCTTCTGATAATCGAAGATATACAACCCGTTGGCAGGTAATGTCATCATCTGTCTTCCTAAAACATTTTTCGGAAGAATTCCTTCAAATATTGTTTCGTTTTGTTGGCTATAAATATGAACCATCGACAATAATGAACATTTTCCACTCTTCATTTTTAATTGTTTGTCGTTCAGCTTGATTCGGTTTTTGAGTTTTACTGGTAAGCATATAAGTATTGTTTTAATTTTAAACTTTTATCGCCTTAAAAGTTGATTTTATGTTCTTCATCTTATAGGCTTCTTCATTCAGTAGTATTACAGATTCCACAATGTCGCTAAATATTATGGCAGTTACACTCAATATGGATACCGTTAATTTTTTGGGGATCAGTATTGTTGGGCAGTCAAATAAGGCTGGGGATGGTGGAATTTATGTAGGGTCTATTATGAAAGGCGGCGCTGTTGCCCAAGATGGACGAATCGAGCCTGGTGACATGATTCTAGAGGCAAATGGGATCAGTTTCGAGGAAATGAGTAATGACGATGCTGTGCGTACATTAAGGGAACAAGTTCAACGTCCTGGGTTAGTTGATATTCTTTCTAATGGTAACCAATAATTTGACGGCTAATTTGTGTTTTCCGAAAGCAACCTACAATGATCTAGTCGAAGTTTGTAGGTTTGGTGTACTTGCTTTTCAAGGTCGTAGATATTGTCATCCATGTTTAAAAGTATTAGAATAAAATCTCTGAATATAACTAACTTGTATTAAAATGTAAGTCTGAGAAGAACACTTGGCCGTTGGTCTTGAGAATATGTAGTGACAATTTACGATCTTCCTTGGTCTGTTATTATTTTAAATTCAATTGTCCTGTCCCTCAGAAAAGGGAAGAGTATGAGGAAGCGTGATCACTGTGCATCTAACAAACGTAATCACGTTTTTTGAGTACCCACTTAGATGTCGCTGCACAAATGTGTCTTTGGCCGACTAGAAACCGGAAAATATTTGCATGTTTATAATTCACTGATGAGCATATTGAGCTTACATTCAGGGAAAAGAGGTTCTGTCATCTATCGGCACAGCAATCACTGTCACAGTGACTTAGCTTTGTTAATGTATCACGAAAATATCGGCGATAGCGACAACCTACGACCAAACGTCAATTAAAAATCCCCATGGCTTTTAGTTAGTTAATGAATAGTGGAAACCTTAGTTGAGGTGGTTGTCAACACTGCGAAGATTTTTAACTTCTTGAGCGCTTTATAAGAGTGTTCATTACACCTATTACTACTCAAATGAACACGAATTATCAACCTAGCATTACTAAGTGGCTCAAGTCACCGAAACTCCTGCGTAGGTAAAATGAACATTGAAGATGAAAGTCAATCCATTGAGGTCTCACTCTGTTCCAGGTAAAAACTAAATTAAATAAGAAAATTTGAGATTGTGAGTAAAATGAAGACATTTATGTTCCTATTATTGCTATTGTTCCCCTGAGTTCCTAGTGGAATGTACGGCTTCAACTGCATGTATCCACTTGCTTCTGTCCTTTGCTGTACTTTTCACCTGCATCCATGTTAGTCCATACTGTTTCAACTCTTCACACGATCTCCTCCATGTCACCCTTGCACTGACGTCCCATTTGCCGCTCCCCTTTCGGGTTCCACTCGAGCAATGGCCTGACGCGCGATGTCACCCAGCGGTCTCCTCAGCGAGTGTCCGATCCATCTCCATTTTCTCCTGAATATTTGTTGGGCGATTGGTTCTTGTTTTGTTTGTTCCAATAGTTTCTTGTTCGTGATTCTTTCCGGTCCGGCCATCTGGTCTTCAGTATAGATTCAGCGGAGACAGTTGTTGATAAAGTTCTGCAATAGCCTGTTGGAAATATTCTTGGTGACCCGCCCGCCAAGTTTCTGATCCGTATAGAAGAACTGACTGACTTGACGTTGTTTGTATTGAAAATCCGACCGAATTTTGTTGTTGATGCTGAGTGACGAAGATTTCCAAATTGGTTTCAGGTTGATGAATGTGTGTCTCGCATCCCGAATCTCGCTCGACTTGACATCCTCGTCCGATCCGACTGCCTGTAGTTGAGACAACGCTCCCTCCCTGGATAAGTGAGTGAAGCAGCCTCTTTCAAACCCCCCACCCGTTGATGGTGATTAGCGCTGGATGTTGCTGCTGTTGTTGGTTGGTTGGTTATTTTCATAAACCTCCGTCTTGTCTATGTTCACCTGGAGTCCTGTCTTCACCGGCTGCTTCTTCGACCAGTTTGTCGGTTTTCGCTTGTAAGTCTTCGATTTTGTGTGACATCAAACATAAATCATCGCCGCGCGAAATCCATGTCTTCTAGGTTCTTTACGTCGGCCCAGAATATTCCTGTCTTCTCGTTTCCCACTGTTTGACGCATAATGCAGTCCACCACAATTAGGAATATCATTGATGATAGATAATAAGCACCCTTGTCTGACTCCTGTGTTTACTCCAAACGCCTCGCTGAGTTTTCCGTTGTGGATGACTTGACATGTGACGTTGTCGTACAGCTGTTGAATAAGGTTGATGAATGTTTGGGGTACGCATTTATGCTCCTGCTTTTCTGCAATTTGTAATTCATCGTACGAGTACGTATGACCATAGATATTAGCTTATAACTATGACTCAGACAAACATCCTGCACTACTACTCGAATCAGTAGTGAACTGCCTAATTTTTGGTTACAACGTCTTAGTCATAATCCACTTTCTTCCAACCTATCCTTATCCGTTAACGGTACATCGCACAGACTGTAAGCGAGCACTCTTTATCACTCAGTTACTCGAAGTTTGTAACCTCTTCGAATGGCTAACGTCCTCTTCACTTATGTGGTTATTTCACTAAAAACTTGTTTTCTTCAGGTTTACTTTTAATCACTGTGTCACAGTCCTCCGGTTAGACGAAATACAGCATGCCAAATATTTCGTTTTTGTCAGAAGTGGCTAGATTCGTATACGTGCTGAGATTTTCATCACCAAACCACTAGGGTTATTGTGGCTTTTCAGAAAAGTGGTGTTCTTATTCCCTAGCTGTGGTCAGTACGTCATACAATTATGAACTATTAGACTTTGAAAACTATTAATGAGACTAACAATATCATAAGAGAATGTTTAAAAATTTTCTAGACATTGTGACAATAAGTAATTGGGACCTGTTAAAAGTAATTGTGTTTATCTCCTACACCTTTTTCAAGCTCAGTTATGCGGAACAGATTTTTCATTTGCCAGGCTAAGGGCCGCACCTATCGTGAGGGTTGATGATAATACCAAGCTGCTTATACCGAAGTAGATAGGGTGGGATTCCAACCCGGGACGAATTGGCTGAAAGGTTTAGTACTTAAGCCAATGAGCGACATCTTCATTCACATATCTGGTCTAAAAATATCATCAGTTTAAGTGCCGATTCTGACTCTCCATCTCCGAATATTACTTATGTAACCAATCATACCTTGCCGACAATCCTTTGAGGTTACCTGTGGCTTTCTTTATCTATTGTGTATCTTTTCCTTAATACCGAGTTCAAGCGATGAAATACATTGTTAGTATTACAATGAATATAAGCTGCCCAAGATTGTGAGGCATTGACTGGAAATGATTATTTTCTCACTCACGAACTATATACGTATCAATATACTTGATAATGAGTTATATATTATGTATTATTTGCACACTGATGATGCTACGGAGCTGCCCAAATCTCAGCTAGTAGAACAAAGTTTTATCTCTAACTTCCTGGCTTAAATAAGTGCAAACAGGTGCATTAGGTAGATTTACTTGTGGTGAATCTTGTGTCTGTAAGTGAAGGAAATCTAATCAGTAGTGTAAATAAACCGCAGCTAAAGACAAGATATGAAAGCAACACTCATGAGCCAGTGTAACTAGTCTACAAATGCCCTACATCGCTCAGAGAATCATTCAGTTTTTCTCGTTTATTTAATGTTTCTCTCACAAGATACGCGTATTCTTAATAAATTAAGATGGAGATTGGTGAGTCTCTATTTTAGGGACTTTATGTCAAACCCAGAAGTGTAAATCATTGCAAATTTTGAGTAGTTTGCAAATTGTTCTGTATTTATGCACCATCACTTATGCGTGATGTCTAGTTTCTTGTCACGGCTTTTTGTAAAAATCTTACTGTTATTTACTATGGTTCCAAGTTGACGTATTGTATTGTTCTGTTTTCAGCAGTCCCACTTCGATTACTTTTTAGGCCCATAACTCTAGTTGTCGCTAAGTGCTGGGATCCTAATCCGGCCGAACGTTATTTCACAGTACCGCGTCAAGAACCTGTACATCCTATTGATCCACGTGCCTGGGTGCTACATACTAATGCAATGACTACGCCGGAGTCTCATATTCAAGGAGGAGACTCACACAGACAAGTTAATGGGGCTTCTATAACTGGCGCTTCATCAGGTGGTGAGTCAAGTTCTACCCTTAGTCCACCAGGTCTTACTCCTGGAATGAGTATGGGAACTTTAACTTCAGGACAAACTTCAATGCCTTTAGGCACAAGTGCAGCAGCTTTTAATATGGCTGCTTTACTTGCTGCTTCTCAGCAAAAGCAGCAACAAGAACAGGAACAGCAAATGCAACAGCAGCAGTTAATTCAGCAGCGAATTCATATGCCACAACCTACATTCTATCCTACGTCAAATGTGATGCTTCCTCATGGCTATACTCAGCAGGTAAAAAACATAACTAATTGTCTATTTTCCATATTCACAGGAATACGCTGCTGAGAATAGAATTATGAGGTCATGAGGTAGTACAATTTAATGTATGATTTGTGTCATCAGGGTTCGATAGAGTAATCATACGACGTGAGGAGGTAGGCAGCTTTTTGATAATTTTGGGACTTAAAGTAGGATTTGTGATATTAGACACTTCTCTTTAATGCTTTGTAGCTGCCTTAATTCTACTGTCTTATTCAGTCCATCTTTTTAGTAGTTTGCATCAAATTCAGTGTTTTACACAGTAGGTAAGAGCTCTAGGATTCAGGTTTTACTTTACTGCATTTTAGGACAGTCATGGTGGCTAAATCTTGTTTTTCTGAGGTTACGCATAATATTCTAAGTTATTTTTTATGATGCCTTCTAAACCACTTGTCTACTTCATATGATTCGTTTCATTTGAAGATTCGTGCATAAATTTTTCTTGACACTAATATATTCCTTGTTATTTTCAGATTGCTCCTAGTGTTGTTACTGCATCGAGCTCTCTACCTGAAATTGAACGATACTCGGATCCTATCCCACTAAGTTTATCAACAAGTATTCCGACTGTAATTCGTGCTATGCTGCAACCGGATTCTGGTCTGGATATTCGAGACCGTGTCTGGCTCAAGTTAACTGTACCAAATGCATTTATAGGTTAGTCTTAATTCGCTTTCTGCATTTCTGCTAGACATTGAGTTCCGGTTTATTGACGGTTTTCGTAAGTTATTATTCTTGAAATATTTTTCCTCCATCAGACTTTCATCATCAGTTTGTCGAGTTTAACCATGTAAAAATGATCGTCATAATCTTGATGTTTTAACTTCTATATATTCATCAAAGACCTACCTCAAATCGCCAAATACGCTGATTGCTAGAATTAAAAGAAGACATATAAGCGAACAGTACTGTTTTTATTTAGATCTTCAGGCTACACTCATATGTACATAGACTTTATATGAAAAAAATTTAACCAACGACGGTGAGTTTGTGGATCAAATAGTAATAAGCGTTAAATGTTTGGAATGGCAGTAATAACGATGATTATAATAATACCGAAAATAATGATGATAAGTCTAGTGATAACAAAAATACAAGAATTTGTGCAAGTGGTGGTAAGAATAATGAAGGTAGCATGAGTATGTACACAATTTAATAAATAAATTAGGTCAAATCTTAAGAGTTAAGTAATACTAAAGGTGAAGTGGGCACAATCAGAGTTTATATAAATACCGTAAAAGTACGAAGGAAATGAAGAATAAAAAAGGATGGGAGGTTTTAATTAGATTTTATCGAGGCCAAGGAAGAGATAAAGGTAGAAAAAACTTCTTTTGTATGCAAAGACTAGGATTGTTCTCTCAAATTCCCACGGCTTTGGCTATGTGTAAAAAGCGATTGTGAAATCTGTCCGAAGGTTGTATGGAATGCGATAGTTAATTTTGAGGGCACTTCTATCCATCTGGTGACGGCTGTCAATCAAATAAGATAAAAAAGCTTCTTATGGATTTTATTTAGCCTTTTCTGAATCATGAAGGAAGATACTTAGTGATGCGTTTATTGTTCTGTCTCGTTGTCCGCCCTATATATTTCTTTCTCCTCAGGAGCAGCTAAACTTATAGATTCACATGGTAGCGGCATAGCCCTGTCTTTCGCTTGAGTAATCAAAATTGGTTGGCTGTCGAATGACAAGGTTGATAGCAGCATAAATTTGTTTTAAGGCTTTAGATAATCTTTGATTTTGGACTTCAATAGCCACTTCCCCTTTGAATGACAGTTTCAGGAACAATAGTTTATTTTTAACCCTAGTTGGTTTCTATTTGTTATGCACAGTATTCATGTGTATCCTCACAAATCTACTAAGATAACCCACTTGGAACAGCGTATTTTGGAGCTATCCTAATTCGCTTTCTAAGGACTCATCAGTACAGATCCTTCTTGCTCTATTCGCGGGCATTTGACCAAACTGATCTTGTATCGGAAAAGTACGACACTGAAGAAATGTATATACTGTCCTACAGACGTAGGTTTTCTATAGACATTTCTTTTGAGTGAACCATCCTCTCTTCTCTATGAGACATTAAGAAAGTGTAACCTACCATGATGTTCTTCACAAATAAAGATCAGCGATGAATGTGCGTCATTAGATTTTTACCATTTCGTTCTTGTAGTCTTTCTTATCAAAAATAATGAATATATTATCAGTATAACGAAAGTAGGAATCCGTTTTATCTATAACTTATCTCAGTGGACCACTTTTAAGCTTAGCAAGGAGGAAATTTGCCAAAACTGCTGGGCCTAACGGATAACCCATGGCGATGCCGTCGATCTGTCTGTAATAAAGTTGTTGAATGTGAAGTATACAATCTTAGTACATCTTTAAGACTCTCTTTAAGACTATTGATTGAAATTCTGATATCGAACTGCCTTTTTAGTATTTGTTTGAGTATGAATTCCACAGTCTCCATAAGTGGTACACTGGTAAGCACTGATGCGACATCTAGGGATAGCATTTGTTTTCCATTTGCACTGACATCATATAATTTAGAAATGAATCCAAAGACGTCTGTAACATTATGATTTACCACTTTCTTGTGTAAGAGTTGGAGGAGTTCATCTAGCCACTTTGCCCCACTTCATTGTCGTTGTAATTAAACACGTCTAAGACTGGACGGGGAGAAACTCCTGGTCTGCTTGAAGTACATCAATCAGGACCTGAAGATCTAAATGGAAACATTATTATTCTCTTATATACCTTCTTTTAATTTTATCCTTGAGAATATTTGATGATTTGAAGTAGAACTTTGCACAGATGTGCAGCAGTTATGATTTGAAGTAGGTCTTTTATGAATATATCAGAGTTAAAACGTTTTCTGTTATCATTATTCTACTTCACTGTTCAAATAAAAAACTAAAAAGTATCCATTTCATGAACAAGGCATTACTGAAATTCTTTATTACTTCATAAGATAAAGCAAAGGGATAATTTACATATATTTGTTGAAAGATTTTAATATTTGAAAGTAATTATCGTGAATTATTAAGTTTGGAATATGTTAAGTTTGGAATCCTTTATACATACATATATATCTGCATTGATTAAACCCTGTCTGATGGGAAGACGTTGGAGGTCGTAAAACTCCAGGTAAAAAGCTCAAGTGCTTATATTATTGAAATACAATTTCACTCACTAGCTTCTCACAATCGATTTTTAAGGTATATTGTAATGTTTCGTGTTAGTTACTGTTTATTTTAAGTGGTTTAGGGGTGGCTGTTCTAATGACGTTGCAAATTCAATCTATTAAATTTCAAAATTGGAACATTGACTAGAAATATTTGCTATCATAGAATTGTGTTGAACTATTAAAACTATTCATTTTATTGGATGTAGTAATACTTTCACAATTGTGTTTTGTTGGCTTTTTTTTATTATTTTTTTACCTTGTGATTTAGTTATGTTACACCGTTCTTATTTCATCGCCTATCTTCAGGTTCTGATCTTGTTGACTGGCTGTTCAGGCATTTGGAAGGTCTCACTGATCGTAGAGAAGCTAGGAAGTATGCATGCAATCTGCTGAAATTAGGATACATTCGACATATTGTAAATAAACTAACTTTCTCAGAACAGTGCTACTACGTCTTTCGGGATATTAGTGGACGTAAGTAAATCATCTTAATTAATTCGAGATTTTACAGTTGTTTGCCACCATACATTTATGACGTGAAATAAGTCATTATTATCATCATCATTATATTACTAATTTTATTTATTTGGGTTGTGAGTATGAGCGCATCTTCATTTCATTCTACTCTCTGCACTCATTTTCATCTGGGTTCACGATTACTCTTAGATTTTCATTTCCGCTTCAAGATCTCCATTTCACCCTCGGACGCTCGGCTCGTCGTTTTCCATTCGGATCCTCCTATAGTGCTTAGTGCTTGATGTCTCTAAACGGACTTCGCAGCGTATGTCCAACCTGTCTTCATTTCCTCCTGCATATTCATTGGGTGACAGATTCTTGGTTGGTTGGTTGCAAGAATTCCCAGTAATAGTAGACTTTATTTAGTTCTTTCTGTAGTTCGGCTGGTCATATTCCTTTTTTGTGATGATTGTTTAGTCACACAGGGTCAATTATAATTAAATCAACTTTAGTGTATTTACCTCTTAGTTTCGATATTTATTTGATCATCGGTACTGCCAATTTCGTTGGTAAAACTAGTAAATAACCTTCTCCTGTCATTTGTTTTCTTAGTTTTCTTGACTTTTTAATATTTGTGTATTGATATTATTAAATATGCTTACTCTAAATTTTCATTTCTTTCCAGTTATGTCTTGTCTAAGCTTAGAAGAAGTTGATAGTGTCAGTGAAGTTGGTGCTCTCCCTCATTCTAATTGGGGTCATAACACAACAAGTACCAGTCTAACTGTCAGACCTGGCCCAAATACTAGCATGCAAGAATATAATACAGGTCACACTGTTCCCCATGGGGTTGTCGGGTCAGGAATTAGAGAAGGAAATAGCAGTCAATACAGTACAGTGCCACCAATGTATCACCCACCGGCTCCACCACTAGCGGCTCCTATTCGTCAGTTGATTGCAGATGGCCAAAATGTAGCAGCTAATATAAATCTCCAACAGTCTCATAATTTATCCAGGTTGAATGACGGGAACAGAGATAATATATCAGGTTAGTTACAGTGGTTTTTTTTGTGTGTTAGTAATCTCAAATAGTGAGTTTCTAATTGAATCAGATAACTACTAAGCTTACTGTTTCAGTTCAGACCTTGAACTTTTTGAGCCTAATTTTTGTCATAACTTGATTTACATAAAAAAAGTGAAAGTCAGTACTACGTAGCAGTCAATTTTCTCACTTCAGTAAAAGTTGTAGAAAAATTTGATTGTCAATTAATTTAGTATACTTTAGGTGAACAGATGATATTCTTCTCACTGAAAAGTGCAACCCTGTGTTTACTCATATATTTCAAAAGGTGTAGTAATCAGGTGTTGTAAAGTCTTATGATATGTATGTTTGCATTTTTTTTTACCAAGTCTACTACTTGTGCCATCTATATGTGTTCCATAGTATGAACCTACACAATCGGTTTTATTCAAATTTTTCTTCGCTGTATTTTGTTGCTCTGAATTGAATCGATAGAATGGTGTTCCTATTTTTTGAAGATATGTTGTTAATTTTTAGACTATGATACTTCCTAAAGTGATCAGATAAAGTTAATTGTACTCCAGAATTTCAATAAGTCTTAGTCCTGATGTATCTTTTCTAGAGTAACTTTTAATTCCATACGCATTCAATTTACTACTAAGTGAAAATGAAGTTTTTTCAGTGGATTTTTCTTATGTCAGGTGTCTTTAAGCTCAAGCTTTAATTTGTCCTTTCCAGGTTATTCTAGTTCAACATCCAGCACCAGCAGCGGATCAAATCACTTTGATCGTGAAATCCCTGAACATAATAAAACTCGCCCTTCAGATTTATCTGCACCAAACCGTCTTGGGGCTCCTGGGTTCACTCATTCTCGGCAGCAAGATTCTCTTCTGCCGAATTCACGGCCATTAAAGCAACAGCATTCCCAGTCGAATTCAAATTTGGCACAGACCCTCATGACATCGGTTGCTAGTGGTGCCCCATTGCACCAGTCTAGGTTAAAGCATACTTTTTTCCCTGATGGTAATGATATATCCCAACAACATGAGCTTGCAGCATCATCCACTGGTTCAAGTTCAACTTCTTTCGGAAATCCTAAACAGAATGCATCTACTAATAATTCAGATATCAATAAGCATCAAACACAGGATTCAGTTCAAAGAAACTCTATGCTTAGTTCAAAAAGTAGCAGTAGTAGCAGTTGTACTCCGTTGAATGCAAGTATGCAGGAGATGCGACCATTGGGTTCACATTGTATTTCTCACCATCAAAATAATGCTCCTCCTCCACCTCCTCCGAGAATTTCAACGGCGGCTTCTGGTTTTACACTCACTAGTCACCCTTAAATGGTAAGACAGTTACACTTAAAACCAACACCATATTTTAAAGACGTTAATTTTGGGTGTCGTTTATCCGTTTTGTCGGCTGTTATTAAACTAAGATGCATGGTGTGTATACTTAGTATTTTTTGTCACCATAATATTTGTGTTTGAAATCTTATCTTACCTTGTTGTTTTTTAGTGAACCAATAGACGAAATGAAGTTATGGTTTTGCTAGTTCTTTGCAACTCGCCTACCTCATATTTTCTGCCTTTCGGCAATTTCTGAAGAGATGCAATAATTGCGAATATTGTGTCGTCATCTAATGTAAAATAAAATGTGATACTTTGACTTTAATAATAATATAACCGTTTTTTCGTTACTTATTATGCTCATCCAATAACTCAGGCCATGTAGCTGATTTTTATTTAACGACGCTCTTGGTTTCATATTTCTTATATTCTTTCAAATAAATAAAACCAATCAACCAAATCCCTACAAACCAATACTTGAAAACTACTGTATATTGTGCAATCTATGACACATCAAAGTATTTTTTTGTGGTCAGAAGCACTACTATACTTTTATCAGCTCTCCACATCCGAGTTGGTTAACGTTTGTAGTCTACCTCGATGTAATATATATACATATATCTTTTAGTTTAACTGATTGAATTATGTTTTATAATCTTATCCTCATTCACACCTTTGAACCTTATGAGTCGTAAATTACATTTTATATGACTATCCTTTTTTAACTTGCCTACTCCACTTTGTTTTGTTCAACTTACTTGTTAACTGGTGGGAGTTTACTTAGCTGTATGGTTCTGCCAAAAACTGTAGAAATGATTTATTCTTCGAAAGTCGATATCCCCGTCATTTAATATTGATCCTCTAATATGCGTTTACATTTTTTTTCACGATTTAAAAAAATGAATTCCTTTGAATATCTTTGTCTTTTATATGTATTAAATATTCTTTAGTGCTGAGACAGGAAACATTTGTTATCTTTATAAGAAAAAACAGAATACTGGGTGTAATTTGTAAATGTAATGTGCAGTTTTATTCCATGGTAAATGTAGTCGAACTTAATTGTGCAGAAATATCACTTCAAAGCATCACATCGGAGAAGCATAAATTAATCGAACTTTTGTTTCTAATACCAGTTGTCTCAATAAATGTAGATCCTATTTTGGCACTCCTCAACAAAACGTAACAGGTGTCCAGTACTCACTGGTATTCAATTATCTCCAAATTGATGTTAGTTTGTGTCGAAAATCTAACAACTGGAATTCATATACAAATCTCATAATGTTAATATCAGTTACCAGCTCATTGATGGATACTGGATGAGGATTTCCTCAAGCTGCAGTGTGAATTCATGACTAGTGGCGTCCACCGTGTTAAGGTGAAGTGGATGCCCTTCGAAGTCATTGTTGATGGCAGTGCCATATCATGGGCTGACACATTTTGAATTCAGAGGTCACTAGATCCCATCTCAAGAGGCTAAATGGTTAAGGAATTTTTTTCGTAAACTGAAGGTCCCAGCTTCGATTCCTGGTGAGGTGATGGATGCGAACTGACGAATAGTTTCAAGATAGAACGGAATAGCTATATAGTGCTAACGGGTTCTCAATGATCCCTCTAATTGGTGTTATTTCGTAACAAAAATCTGACAATTAAAGCTGACAGGTATAAAACTTTTGCATTTGTGGTAGAGTATAACTCCATTATGGATAAGATTTTATTTTGTTTTGAGTGACTTGATATGATAACGAGCAATAAATTGTGCTCGAAACGTCACCAGTTAATACTACTATACAACACTGTGATTTATAAAAACAAAATCTTGTCCATAATGGAGCTAAAGCTGACAGTTTTGTCTGGGAGGCCACTCTGTGACAGAACAGTGCAGTCTTATGGATAAAAGGCAATCTTAATATCAGGAAATACAACGACCAGTGGCTTGCAATGCATGCAACAGTGTTCTAGAAGTTGAAACACAACCGATAGCTGCTACCTTTACGTTCAGGTCAGACTTGCACATGCTAACCAAACAACAAAATACACTCGCAGAAACTAAGGTTCATATAGATCCTACCATGCCAGAAGATTGTCGGTGTAAAGATTAGACTAAAAGCAGTTACCTACATTGCGTAAGATTGTTTTACACTACTCTGGGGGTCTGTATTTTAAAGACATATTGCTTGCAGCAGCAAGCTGTTTCCGTCAGATGGTCAGCTATTCTGTCTCACCACTCTGGAGAGGAGGAAAAGGTCGACGGCGAAACTTGTACATTCCGACTTAACCTACAGTGGTCCGTAGCAGTAGTAATACGAAACCAAACCAGAAAGTCAATTCAGACAGGCCATGAGTGACCGGCCTCAAGCAGTTATCCGCTGGGCACTGCCATTTCTATTTCAGGTACCTCAAGGAAAAACAATATCCACGGTGTGGGCAGCCGGGAAGTAATAACCGATCACACACTGCGAAAAGTACACGAAGCCCTCCTGGTCATCATTCTCCCTTATCCCTATCAACCTCATCATCTTGCTTCCTTACTACTACCAACACTATTCTGCAGGCTAGCGAACCACCTTCATTTCATTTTTTGACCACAAGTGACGATAAGAGCCAGGAAAAATCCTCAATAGCCTCTTAAAGACACGCCGCCGACTTCACATTGAACCATTTTACGTCAGGACACTGACGAATCGGAAATCAGGCACCATTAGGTAGAACTCGAACCATGGATGTATGTTGTGTTTCAGAGCCTAATGTGGTTATTCACTTGATCCCAGAGGGACAACTGTGAATCTGCCAAATTCACTATAGGGTTATCAAAAGATTCTTCAGCTAGTTCTTAACGACTCGTTAGTGTTTGGGCGGGAAAATCACTTGTCGACTACATCCCCGTCGATAGTCGTGTGTGTTACGTTCGTCTGAGTGGATCCGTTTGAAGAAGGAAGGACCGCGTCACCCGTCGATGTCTTTTCATACTGTCTACATACGCCCGAACTGACTGCAGTTCGGATGAATTAAAGGATAATTTCTTCAAAAAATTGTCTAGTTTACTGCAAAATGCCAAACTCTGAGACATAGTCGTTTTAGCAGGCGACTTCAATGCTCAAGTAGAGAAGTTGTGTCAGACTGAGAAGCATGGAGGTGGCAAGTATGAAGTTCCCTGCCGATGAACCGACGACGGGGATCGTCTTCTACAGTTCTGTTCAGGTAATCATCTATCCATAATCAGAAATAACTTCAGAGCACAAAGAGAGACATTGCCTAACCTCCATCACCATGTCAACATTGGACTCAAATAGACCACACAGCGATATGCAATCGTTGGCTGGAGTTGTTAGTAACCTAAAACCAGAAGTTAGTGGATTTCTATTACCTCACTCGAACTGAGAGACTTTAAACGAATTATTCCCACGAGCTTCGAGAGTGATGATAGGAGACAAATCTCTGGGATATTTATAGGGAGATCAGGTTGTTATACATACTATAAAACATCCTAGGTTCAGTGGACATGCTTGACCTCAGCGATAGTCTGGAAATCAAAAGCGATGCAACCATACAGGCTTTGGATCATGATGATGGTGTATTGACCATGTCTTCACCGTTTGGAGGATTCTGGAACAAAGACATGCTTACGATCGGCGTCCAACAAACGTCATATTTCTTGACCTGCAGGCGTCATTCAATTCCGTCGACAAAGTGGTGCTGTGGCAATGTTTGGCTGTGAAGGGGGAAATTACATCACCATAGATGTACTAATGGACTTAACCGTGACTGATTTCAGCGAGTCAGCGATTGACTTGTTACCATCAAGCAATAATCTCATTGACTTAGGATATGCAAATGATATAGTCCGGCTCCTAGGTGAAGACGCCAACAAAATGCAGAGTCTTCTCAACACCTTGAGCATCAGTCTTCGAATGGTTGGCATTCGATTCGCTTCTGCTGTCAAATGTGAGATGATGCTACAGGACTGAACAACAACAGTGACTAATTCCTAGCTTAAAGATAGGTGGTGAAGTGGTGGCTGAGTGTGTTGACCACTTCACCTATTTAGGGAGTGGCATCAGCACTATCGGCGGGTTGATCACTGTGGAAACTCCACCAGTGATATAGAAGGCTCGTTTGGCATCAGTCAGTTGATACCGTCTCTGGCTTAGTAGACGTGATATCCGACTGTCAATCGAAGGACGTGTGTACTGCACAGCAGCAGTTCGCTACATCCTCCTTTATGGCTGTGAGCGAGACATGGCCACTGAAAGTGGGAGGCATGAAAAGCTTGGCTAGGTGTCTTTGGTCATAGCTGTCTGGATTCTATCTCCCGTGTTAAGTGTTATAGTAGGGTGAGTAATACTGAGGTTAAGCGTAGGTTGTTAGATAACAAGGGACAGTGAATCCTTGAAGTTGTGAAAGTGTCTCGATCGAAATGACTTCGACAGATGTTACATATGTCAGTTCATCACCTCACTTGTTGAGCAGTGTTGTATGACGTCGGATAATGTTGGAAGAGATTAATGGGTAGTAAGATCGAAACATGCTGGATTGAGCGCCCATATGGGAGGTGTTGACTTTCTGCTTGGGTTCGTTGAGAGGCTAAGAACCTGCATCTTCAGACTGTTGGACACATGAATAAAAATTGTTCTCAATGTTGAAGATGTTTTCATTCATTATGAATACTCAGGTACACTAAATTTTCATCAATATATCGATTCTTTTGTTCATGCTAATTATATTATTTCTGAAACTTCCCTCTACATTCATGTGTACTCTCGATGTATGGCAACCTTGACTGCTGAACTCGTGTGCAAAGTCTACGACTCCGTCATTAAGATTCACACATTCATCTGACTTCAGCTTAATCCTGCAGGCAAAAAATAATCCGATGAGACTTGAATGCAGGCTTATTTGAGTGCATTGTGCCTCCTACATTTAGTACCCACATTTCAATATCAGGAAAGGCATTATATTGTTATTAAGTTCTCTCATCAACAGTGCGGTTTTGTTTTTTTAGGCGCGCCAAAATGACAAAATGTTTGGGTCGTAGATGCGCTAAATGCACCACAAGATTAGGTTATTGCAGGACATTTCTTTTACGGCCTTTTTTTGTAGTCATCAACATGTCTTCCTAAATTTATTCATTGTATATATAGAGCTTTAGGTGATACATCTTCATCATACGCAAGTTCAAATGTACAGTATTCGTGTAGTACGTAAAAGCGTCTTTCACGAATTTAAAAGCTCATAACAAGAGTACATATTTTATTGGAAACAATCACACCAAAATGGCTTAAGTATATAACGTATTAGGCTTTGAACACAACCATAATCATCATGAATACAGAGTGCACCTTCTTCAAAGCATCTGATTGATATATTAGTGATCAGTTGTGTGCTCCGAGTTTATGAATGCCTCATAATTGGCTATTTCTGATCTCTTCATAATCTCATTTAATTGATAGATCTGTTTACAAGTAAATGAAGCAGAATGTCATGAAAAAAATTAAAGAAACATAAATGTGACTTATAGTAGAATTCATGTGTGACAGGACATTTTAATTTGATTTCTGAATGACAAAATTTTTTCGGAAGAAATTTAAAAACAGGATACCATTTTGAATAACGTATTCGTCAGTTGATTAATTGGAGCTTTCATGGTGCCCAATAGACTAGTTACTGGTGAGAGTTTGGAACAGATATGACATTTATCAACTTCTTTTATCTTTGGCACATGTACCCTTTTTCATAATGCTCACTGTTTCGCTCTGTCCCACTTTACAGCTGTGAGGCCTGACTGCTGAATGTGCAGAAAGTATACAAATTAGCGGTTTTTGATCATTGATTGACTGCTTCAGTTGCTAATGTTCCATTTATGTCTATTAGTTGTCTCTGTCTGACTTGGAAGAGCCAAAACCGAATTAGTTGACTAGGTTTTAATTAACAGTAATATATTCTAGAGACATTATCTTTTCATTGAATGGAATAAATTCAATTTTTGACAGTATATATGCTCCTTCAGCGGATACTGGCACCACTTGTTTAGTTGGTAGTGGTTAAAACTTGAGTTCAGAATGTCCTTTTGTATTAATTAAAACTCATTAATTGGGCAAGTGATGAATGATCGTGCTTTATCTAAAACTCATTAATTAAGTATAAGATTCAACTGCATATCAGAATATCCGTCCAACTAATCCGAGTGTTGTAAGTGATAGAATAATTTGGTTCAGTGAAATCAATCAGTGGGGAATTAAAAATAAAGACAACTGATTATTTTATTTACACACCTATGTCATTAAAAGAAATCAATACTTTTGTTGCAAAATGATAAGCCTAAGATTAAAACTAAGTTTTGCCTAATTCTACAGGGTAAAAATAAGTTTTTCATCTCTGCATACACAATATAAAGAAAACAAAAAGTATGAAAATGAGAATAATATTTTGATCACAGACTAACCATAAAATGAAATTTTGTAAAGTTGAGATTCAATCAGTGAGTGATTTCATTGTTTGAATGTGATAATACCGTTACCCTTATGGAAAAGGTAGCCATCCGTTGAATCTCGATCATCATATTCAAAAAGAGATGCAAAACTAAAATTGAACTCGTAAGATAAAATTACGACATCTATAGCATGTATTCTAGTGTACTGTGGTCGACGTCTTTCCAAGATTCTACCTATCTACCTAACCATTTTAGGGGCTAAATGAAGTCAAAGTATCTTTGCTTTTCTTCAAAATAAAGAAATATTATTATTTTTATTTTTGATTACAGCTTGATTCCACGCTGTATTTTTGGTACAAGTATGGAATTTTCAGCGTGGATATCGGTAGCCCAAATTTCGCAGGCCGACCATAGATATCAGGCGTGGGCTCGAACCCCCGACCATGTGCATGATCGGCGAGAGTCCTAACCACTGTGAGAATTATTTGGGTTTTATAAAAACAAACTATACTTACAATAGATCTTTGCTTAGCAAAAAGCTCCCTTTCTTCATCATTGTTTAGAAATTCACTTTTATGTGGCATATTGGAAAGAACAGCCTGAAAAAAGAAGAAGTATAGAGAAATGATCCTTGTAAAATTCATGTTTAGTACATGTCACTTAGGATTTTAGCGTCAACGTAATAGGGGCCTTTGAATTTAGTCATTCGTAGATGAAATTCAGTTTTTCCACTGAGATAAATATGTTTGAAATGGTTACTATTTCATTTCACTAACCTTTAACTGAACGCATAAAAACTGCGTACTGATCCCCGTGATTTTTGAATGCTTGAAGTGGCTCATTGACTGGGTAATGTGAAATGAAAGTATGATTCACCGTTTACAAACAAACAGATGAATAACGGCACCACAAGTAAATGTATCACGTGGCGAAATCCATCAGTAGATCCGTGACAATTTTGAGAGCTTAATGGATGCATAAGTTTTCATACACCATTCTATCCTTTAGGAGATCAGATGTGACTAGAAATATTAACGGTCAAACTCATTTATTTCACCTGCTTATGAATCTGATTTTAATTTGTCAGATTCGATTAATTCCCTCAAGTTCTCAGATATGTTTCCAACGACAAAGTCAAACACCTCCCTCAGGTTATGAAATATAGTAAGCGCAGGTCATTGGAAAGCCTTGATTTAACAAACTAACTGTGTGCTAAACCAAAGAAACGATTCTAGCATTCAAAAATATATCTGTGCTCCACATATTGTCAAAGGACTAAACCAGGAAAATAAGCAGTCAAAACACCTCATTGACCTATCAGGTTTGTTTTTGCCGATCCATTGTGTAGCGGTAAATAATTCCCCAAAATTATTGACCACAGCAATCACTCACCATTGGATGCTGACCACTGTTTAAGTCGACTCGTTTAGCTGAAGGCTTCCGGTCAAGCATCCCCGCCATTTGGTACCCCATCGTGTCACGTGCACGATCACTAGCTAGCTAAGCGTTCGTCTGAAGGCTTGTTTTGGTCCCGAAATATATCACTTAGTTTGGACGATCAAATATTGACTTTTGCTTTGTTGTTGGTACGCGAGAATAATTTAGAGGCTGTGTGAGATAATTCCGTCAACCTTTAAAATTGTTAGGTTTAAATTGATTATGAAACCTAGTATCTTAGATGCTCCATTAGTTAGGCAGGTCCTGCTAAGATTAATTCAAGAAGATTTGTGCCCATTACCGTGAAGTTCAGTGATTACTGATACAATTAAGCCTATTAAAAATACACTGAACTCTAACGATTCCTGGTACCATTAGTTCTCCATGTTGGTGATTTCTTATTAGGGTCTGAAAAGCAATACAAACCTTCACTTTGAAAATCTACTACAATCAACATAAACAACAAGATCCAGATTTCCAACATCAAATCGATTCTGGCACATCATGAAAAGGCATTTCGAACGGGCTTCAACCTTTTATCAACAGCTGACTTTGGTAGCTCAATACTGAAGATCATATGACCAGGGAGAATTAGTGAGTAGAAACTGTGAGAACGAAGCAAGCAGGATGTCACTGTCCAAGAAATATGCTGAAAGATATGGAGATGGATCGGACACGCACTTGAGTGACATCCTGCTCCAGGTCACCACTCAAGTGAAGCCTGAATGAAAAACGATGAGTTCGGCTTCCGAGGATGACACGGAGGAATCATGTCAGGAGGAGATGAGAGCCTGTGGGCAATCTTGGGGCCAGATACAGAGGAAGCAGAGAACAGGACTGAGTGGAGATATGCTGTTGGATTCCTATGTTTTACTCGGAACCCAAAGGATTACCACTAATAATAATATAATCCGTAAATGCTCCTCGAGTCAAATGGTCAGATCCTGCTGCTTAGACTTTTGTCAAGTTTGAGTCAATCACCGTAACTTCTCTTTGAGTTTGAGGATGGATATTTACATCACGTTTGAATGGGATGGTGGGCTACTATGGTACAGTTGACTGTAATCTGAATCGTTTGCCAAAGTCTTATTTCCAGCCTCTGACCATACACCTTGAGACTTTATCAAGGTACCGTCTTTCTCGTGAACTTTCATGTTTACTATGATTTCTCGATGACCATTCTCCTCAATAAGTCCAAGTAATCGATAGGTAATAATTAGTTGTACTGATCTCATCTCCACCTCGTTTCATTTTGTCATCCACAGCTTTTCGCAGTTATTAAATTTTTAACTAATTTACCCATAAGCAGATTTATTTGCTATTATAGATTTTTACTGGATTTTATCAAAACTTCACATGTTATAATTTGCCTTGCTAATGCGTATGAAAACATGAAATTCAATTCAGACAAGGTTTCTTGCCGATACATTCATAACATTTAGCTACAAAATTTACTGGTTTCCAAAATGTGTTGTTCAATACACATTTTATTTATTATTGGATAGAAATCAATGAATGGATAGAATAAATGCATAACACTGAGTACTGTTACTTTTTAAAGACTTCACTGCTGTAATTATCTGTCACTTTAATAATCAGTCATTCGCGTATTGACAGACAGCCTTGAACACAGACACTTGACACAGACAAAATAAAAAGTGCACAGATTTTCTTTATTCCTCTATATGCAACCATCACTTAATTCACATTCTTATTATGTATTCCAGACAAATCATAATTATCCGATGTTTAGTGGGTGTTTCTGGAGAGAAAAATTTAGACGAGACTTTGTTTCTTAAGATTTCATTTTTAATGATACATAAATATATTTAACGTTTATATTTAAAGTTAATACTGTGAAATTTCAATATGACTTAGAGAAATGTAATATCTGTTAGGTAGCAGTTGGTAGACTGATGTAGGAAATATTTGAAAAAACCTGCTTAATAAAAAGGGGCAGATGGAAGTGAAAACCAAGAAAAAATGAATATGTTATATACCAGATGATGAATTATAACCGAGATGATCAGTATTTGAACAGTAAATTTACTTAGTTATAGGGGACAGAAGTATATGAAAACGGTAATCTACAGCAACCAAAATAAAACAATTCGCTTCTGGAAATTTCTGAGCGTAAGTCAGTTATATACATGTCATCATGTTAGACGTAAGAAGTCGGTCATTAAGAAATCTATAATCACTATCACTGGAACTAAAAAACAAAGGATGTAATTGACGAAGAACTGAGTAATCTCCGAAAAACCCTGATGGAAAACGGTTTCCCGCCTAGGTACATAGACAAGAATCTCAAATCAAAGAAGACTCCCGAATAAGTCCAGTCCTGCCCGAAGAAGATACTTCTGCGTAATCTAGAATTCAAAGGTGACACTGAAGCAGAAATCCTTCGTAAATGCCTCTGCAAATCCCTGAGGAAAACATACTTCGCTGCAAGCCTACGACTGACGTTTTCCTGTAAGAAACTGTTCACCGGAGAACGCGAAAAACAAGCTGTAGCATTGGGCCACTTTAACGTGCATATACCAGTTTACTTGCTCGTGCAGAGGTGATTACATTGGCCGTACCATGAGCCAACTTGAAAAACGCGCTCGTGAACACTATCCAGTCTAGCTAGTTAAAGGAGAACGAAAATGTGTATGTGGTTCATTGACAAAATCTGGTCAATTCAGGACATTCCGGGCCATTTAAAAAATCCGCAAAAATCCTATACAGGATTCCATCACACCTATCATATTTATTCATGTTATTTCTAAGTTTTCTTAGTCCCTATTTACATTACCATATTTTCATATCCAAACTTCCTGTCTATTTTGTCATTTTATTATTTCTACATATTTAATCCCTAATTGCGTAAACAATTTTTCCTCACATTAGTTATGATCCCACTAAATTTTTTATGGTTCCCTATGAACAAAGGGTGCTTGAAATCTAGAGGAACCTCAAGCTATTTTGAGGATTTAGACGTACATGGCTGGAAACAAACATAATTTCTTATCATTATAGTGCCCAAGTCATGGCTAAACTCATACCATGTTAGAGATCTGTTCATTGGCGCTTGCGACTAGACATTTGCATCAGATATCTTACTACGTTTTTTCACTATAGACTTGATCTATGGGTGCATCTTGCTCTCAGACTGCTTCATCAGCATGCAATGTAGTTTCTGAAAACTGGTTTTAAATGATTTAAGTATTTGACAAATGTTTAATAAATCAGTTATGACACGAGAAATAGGTCAAATTCAAGGCAGTTTATGATTAATATTTTCTTATTCAGCATATGAGACTCATTTTTATAATTATTGAAGGCTTAAGAGATGAAGGGTGACAACGGTTACGCAAGATACGATGCATACAAACATCAGTGCTTATTCTGTAACTTCCAAAGTACGTGTTCTGCTGAGATCAGGGATAAATTAAAACAACAGATTGACCATCCAAAATATGAGATATATTTTGGGGTCGGAAATGTTGGGTGATGATAGTTGTTTAACTAGCTGGGGTTTGCGCAGGAACGACTGAATGTACGAGGGGAGTGTGCCAAATGGCGTGGGTGCCTAACAACGTACCTTCAGCTTAACAAGCCGACTTAAATACTGAATGTTAGTATCCATTGCTAAATGATTAATGTTTTAGACTAATAATCTTGGGGAATTATTTACTGCTACAGTTCAAGCCCACTTAATGGGGTTTTGAGGATCGTACGGTGATACCAGCCAGAATTGTTTACGTTTATAAATGGAATTTGGTCAGTGGTATATACTTATGTTGACTAATACGCATTTAAGAACTACACAATCACTGACAATATGGTGCCGGGTGAATTAAGATTAACTTTGATAAACATATAATTAAACGGAAAACAGTAGATTTCATTTATTTGTGGGGGAAATGACTATTGATTGTAGCTACTTGGGAAAGCACTGAGTTGCTGGTGTCACTGGATGTTAAAGACTTTTATTCATGAATTGTAGAGAAAATTAGTATTGATAATAATTACCTATTAACACTTCCTGAACTTCTTTTTACCATTTGTTTACCCGTTAATCTTCACTCAGTTTCTTGTTGTTCGCTGTAGAATCTTTTAATGACTTCTGGTTTCCAGTCTCTGTGTGTTTGGGAATTGTGACAACTCCAAGCGAAGC